ATATAAAAGAGGCTGTTTTTCTCAATTTTGCTATAGTCTGTTTTCGTTTATTTTCTCTATAAAACACGATAGAAACTTGGGGTTAGGGTTTGTCACTCAATTGGTTCTTCTTTGTGTGAATCTGTATAGAGTCTTGATTGAGGGCTGGGAGTTACTTCAAGGGTAGTAAGCACTCTAGTGGTTGTACAGGTTTGCGGGTATAAAGGGGAGAGGGGTGAGTGATTGATTGTGTTGTTGGCAGAGAGTGGGGTTCGATTGTAATCTGTATCATTCGAAGTGATTAATCATAGTGCAGCGAGCTCCATATTTTGGAGCTCAACATGGATGTAACTTGTTCTATATTGAACAAGCGAACCACGATATATCGTTGTGTATTGCTTGATTCTTTTGCTGTTTGATTTGATCTGAGTATTGGTGTTTAGTTTTGACAGATTAGGCTTAGTTTACAACACATCCAATGGCATCCCTCTAAACACTGAGCCACGTCCCGCCTGCTGGCTGGTCTTTGCCTGTCCATTGGTCTTGAATGATACCCACTCGAATTCGTCGCTGCTTGCTTTCTTCAACACTGCGTAGTTCTGTGGAACAACCACCAGCTGACCCTCACGAATTTCCTCGTCGAATACCGACTCTCCGTTCTCCGAGACGATTTGCTTCCTGCCATTGCCCCTTATGACATAGACTACGCTGTAGGCATTCAAGTTCCAGTGAGGTGCCAAGATAGCATTCTGAAAGCTGCAAGTAAAAGTTAGCAAATTCAATTTCAAAATAATTTGGACACGCGCACTGTGATATGCTATATGACTTAAATTATCTTCTTACCCTGGAAAGCACGCCTTTCTCTGCGCTAAGCTGGAGGTATCTTAGGATGGGAAGGTTGAAGGCATTGATGCTGGTGATGCGTCCACCATGTGGGTTATAGACGTCAGCACGTGATGGGTCATTGATGTTGTGCTTCAGTGTCATTGTGCAGAAGGTTTCCTCTAACCTATTATCGTTTCTCTGTCTTCGCTCTCTTTCTTCGAATTCTAGTTCTTGTTCTTGTCTGTGTGGTGTTAGTGCCTCAAGATCCTCCTGAAATCTGACAATAATGCCCCTCTACCTCTTCTCTCTTTGGAGTTTCCTGGCTAGCTGAGTGTCTATGTTGAAAGATTGTGCGAGGATCTCCTCGTCGAAGGCGCTTAAGATATTGTTGCTTTGCTGTCCTTGCTGGCCTCTTCTGCTGCTTTGGCTTTGTCTCCTGCTCTGACCACCACCTTAAATTTCTTGTTGTGGGCTTCCTCCCAGGAAGAATTTCTGCAAACACATCGAAATGAAAGAATAAATTATCCATGAACAAAATTCTGATAATGCTAAAGTAGAATTAATTTGTACCCTCAATTGCTGGTCGAGCTGGTTCTCGGAATTGCCAACGTCGACGAGTGAGACCAAAACAAGCCGAGAGTGGCCATTGTTATAAATCCAGTGAGCTACTCCTGCAGGCAATGCAATGACATCACCCTCCCGGATATGCCTGACCTTTTGGTGTTGCTCTCCTGTTTGACTCCTTTCTGATCTTAAGAACCTTGACCGGGACTATGACTGTGATTCATCTTGGAATGTCTCAGGACAACCCGGGAATACAGCTCCATGGATACCCCTACCTGAATTGACCGTAACAAATATATATTTCAATATGTTAGTAACATATTAACATGTAAACACATATTACAGAAATATAAAAACCAGTTATCAATTTGCCTTGAACAACGTAGACAAGCTGAGAAGCATTGTTGTATGAAGGCACTAAGAGGCCTCTGTTCTGGATAGTGTGGCGACGCACAGCAACATTAGCGCATTGTAGTTGTTCTTCATTCTGGTCCCAGAACTCGGTGACACCAGCCTCTGATTGAACCCTCCTCCGGGGCTCAAGGGCATTGAGGTTCTGGATTTGGCATTGAGTTTGGAAGCGTTGTTGCTGTTGTTGTTTGTTATGCCCAGGAAAATGAAGGGCTGACGTGGGAAAGTCACGTGAAGGGTGACCTGCTCCCGTCAGAGCAGGTCGCACACGTCAGGCCTGCCAAGTGATATGGAGCCCACACGCGTCCCTTTCTCTGCAACAAGTCGTGCGATGTCAGCTTGGGAAAAGGGAAATGGGACGTAAAGCCGGATTACATCCTGACAATCACACCAAACCATGGATTTAGTGATGATTATACACTTTAGTCTGATATAAAAAGAAGACCACCCCTTCATTAAGGGGATTCGGCCATTTTTCATACGACAAAAGAGATCTCTCTCCTGTAATCATTTTTGACTTTCTCGTCTTATGTAAGTCAACTCGCGACCGCGACCTGACACCCACTAATATCAATACAAATCAGTGGATGTAGGATTTGCTACCTTAGCATCCGAACCACTTAAAAAACTCCCTTTACATTTATTTCGCTTTTATATATTCCTTTTTCACGTGTGTTGAACAGCCAACCAACGTCATACACGTGAGAATTCGTTGGTGCTTAAACGGAGCATCAACANTCATATGTTAGGATAATATCAAAATGTAATTACAGATGTATATCACATCTTAATGTTAGAAAAAATAAGCATTGAATTTGCCTTGAACAACGTAGACTAGCTCAGGAGCATTGTTGTATGAAGGGACTAAGAGTCCTCTGCTCTGGATAGTGTGGCGAAACACAGCGACATTAGCGCATTGTAGTTGTTCCTCATTCTGGTCCCAGAACTCGGTAACACCAGCCTCAGATTCAATCCTCCTCTTGGGCTCAAGAGCATTGAGGTTTTGGATTTGGCATTGAGTCTGGAAGCGTTGCTGCTGTTGCCGTTGCTGTGAATTTACAACCTGTTCTATCTGAGCGAAACTGCAATGAAATAGAAGAAGAAAGCCAAGACTAAAAGAGAGCAAAGAAGAGTAACCCCATGATTAGCTGGGTAGAGAGAATAGAACTAGAGATTGTTGTGAAGAAGATGATTACAGAGAGTGGTATTTATTGGTGAAAAAATTAGTAGATGGTTCAGGAATTGGCGAATGGTTATGTTGAAGTATTTTTGGTTTTTATGCATGCAAAAGTATCATTAAGTCCTAGCTCGTTAAGACATAATAGATGCTTCAGGTGTACGTGGTGGTGTTGAACTCAGAATATTTCATGCAATAGGGAATGTTCTTTCGAATGAATTTAGATGGACTTCGAGCCTCTGGGGGCAATGGAACATCTTCGAATAATAGAGATTGCTCCATATGACGTGTTACATTTTTTCCTGATCTTGTCTCTATTTTTTTTTTTTTTAATGGAGTGTAGGGTTAGTTTGTACGTATCTTACCTAATCTTTGAAGTCTATTGAATACTTTATAAGCTCAAAAGACTAGATAAACCAGAATGTTATTGTAATAAGAATCCAAGAACTCAAGAGAAAGAAGCAAACCTCTTTGACCCCATGCCAAACCCTTGGGGTTATCTTGCCTCTATTTACATGTTGCAGTAACTTGAAAATTAGTTTTTAAGGTAACTTTTAAACTAGTAATGTTATGTATAAAATATAAAATTTTAAATAGTAATATAAAGTTTCTTGTATAAATTAATATTAAAATAATTAAATGACTTTAATTAAAAATAAATTGATTAAGAAATTATTCTTATATTATTTCTTTTTACTTATTCAATAATAATACACTGTTTTTATACATATGTAATCATCCACTTATTTTGTATTATACAAACTTTTATATCTTTTAATATTATTCATTTTAGATAGAGATCATACAATGCACGAAGCTAATAAAATTTTTCTATGTTGGCAATTATTTATAAATTATTTATCCCCTTGATAATAGGAGAATCGGTTTGATGAGAGAAAAAAAGTTTTTATACATATATTGAGTGCCTTCACATAAAAATCTCATGTATGGCAGTCTCTTTTCGATTTAACTAAAGTTACGGGATGAGTGCTTTGCAACTTGCAGAAATATTAGAGGTTCGAAATATCTAATGTAATACCTTGTTTATGATTGTTATCGAATTAATAGAATCAATGAGAAAATGTTTATGAAATTAAAGTGGGCTTTGTATTTCGCCTATTTTCTTCTGTTCAACATTTTTTGTCCATATTTGATGTTGATGCAAGTATTTACATCAACCAGAGATATTTGATTGACACTGTTAGAATCTCGTAGAATGTGTGCATAACACGAATGTGTCAACAATGACAGTGAATGTGCAATAATTAACATAAAATACTGAAGAACAAAAGGGTGAAAAGGAATTGAAAGAAAAGACGAAATTCTAGAATACTTTGGAGAGAATTTTTATTATTGAACTTAACTGAATGAGTTTACACGATTGGAAATTTATATACAGAGCTGGAGAGACTGAGTGAGCTAAGAGCTGGAAGACACAATTATTGAGTACACAAAAACGACATCGTTCTTTGTGAGAGAAATAGGAGAAATTCCGATTGGTCCCTCAATCTTTGATTATTGCTCTTTTCAGCCTCTTACCAACACTCCCCTTAAACTAAACTGCAGTTGTTTAGCTACAAAGTTCTTCCTTATATCTGTGGCCAATATGCTCTTATAGACTGGACTACTCTAAGCCAACTTGTCTATATTGAATCAAAACATTGAATCAACTAAGCTTTTATCAAGATTGTTGAAGACTTAGCTGAGTAAACCAAGCTGTATTAATGAAATATAACTTGATCTGAGCTGGAATTCAGTACTAGCTAAATCAATGGAAAGACAACTAAAACTGAACTGCAATTGCAATACTAAAGCAAATAACTAAATTACGATTATGAGCTTCACTCCTAAACCAACTGAACCAACTGAATTTGAACTGCAAGCTAAACCAAACAACTGAATTCAGCAAACTAAAACTGATCTGCATCTGAATAGTGAACTGCCTCACTCTGCATAACACTACTCTGTATAGAACTCCTTTGCACAACAATTGAACTCAGCCAACTGAAATTGAATCTTCATCTGAATAGTGAACTACATCACTCTACATAACACTACTCTGCATAACGCTCCTCTGCATAACAACAGAACTCAGTCAATTGAAATTGAATCAACATTTGAATAGTGAACCACATCACTTTGCATAACACTACTCTGTATAACACTCCTTTGCATGACAACTGAACACAGCCAACTGAAATTGAATCTGCATCTGAATAGTGAATTGCATCACTCTGCATACCACTACTCTATATAACACTCCCCTGCATAACAACTGAACACAGCCAACTGAAACTAAATCTGCATATGAATAACACAGCCAACTAAATGCACTTGAATACCTAAATATAGCAAACTAAATCTTCATTTTAATAGTGATCTACATCACACCTGATCCGTTATGTAGTGTGTGTCAATCTCAATATGTTTGGTGCACGCATGAAAAACTAGATTAGCTGTTAATGCTCTAGCACTAATATTATCGCACCAAATAATAGGAGAAGAGCTTAATTCCATACCCAATTCAGATAACAAACTTTCCAGCCAGACCAATTTAGTGGCTGTTTGAGCTAATATTCTACATTCAGCCTCTGTCAATGAAAGGGCAACCACCTTTTGTTTTCTAAAACTCCACTGAATTAAGTTGGGACCTGGATAGATGCAATAACCACTTGTGGATCTCCTATCATCCAGATTACTACCCCAATCAGCATCAGCATAGCTTTCAACACATAAAGAGGCTACTGGCTTGAAGAGGAGAACATGAAATTGAGTCCCTTTGATGTATCGTAACACCCACTTACATGCTTGCCACTGATGCTCAGTTGGAGCTTGAAGAAATTGGCTCAATTTGTTTATAGTAAAGCTGATGTCTGGCCTTGTTAATGTCAAATATTGGAGAGCCCCAATGGTGCTTCGATAAAGGCTAGGATCTTGAAACAACTCACTATTTGAGTTAAAGAGTTTAGCGCCAGCAGTCATAGGGGTATGACAAGAATGTGCATCCTGTAATTTGGTTTTAATAAGGAATCTGATATGTACTTTGTCTACTTTAGATGAATACCTTCATCAGTTTGGGTGGCTTCTAAACCAAGAAAATATATGACAGACCCCAAAGTTTTCAAGGCAAATTGGTTGTTTAGGTCTTGAACCAACTGAAGTATAGCAGAATTGCTTGAACCAGGGAGTAATATGTCATCTACATAGATGAGTACATAAAGCACTTGATAAGAATCTTTTAGAATAAAGAGACTTGAATCCGAAACTGAATTACATAATCCTTTATCAAGTAATGCTTGCTTGAGTTTATCAAACCAAGCTCGTGGTGCTTGCTTGAGTCCATAGAGTGCCTTATTGAGTTTACAAACATGAGAAGGATATTCAAAACTTTCAAATCCTTTATGTTGCCTCAGATAAACTGTTTCACTTAAAGTGTCATTCAAGAAGGCATTATTAACATCTATTTGCTGTATATCCCATCCATAGGTGACAGTGTAATATCTGCCTTCTAATCAAGTACTCAAAAAATATACATAATGAAATTACATATAAGATAGTAAAAGAGTTGGGCCCAAATTTTCCTTTTATTAAACATATACATTCTTTATACAAAGTTTGGATTATGTACAAAAGTTATCAAAAACATGATGGACAGTGTAACCATTTCTCCTCGCGTGTCGACGCCCATCCGACCGCGTTCTCACCTAGATCCTGCAACCACAAAGAAAACAATGGGATGAGCACAAAATAATGCTCAGTAAGTAAATCCTCTACTTGACTGTCCCCGTAATTCTTTTTCTTAATTCTTTCCTTACACTTTTTCTCATTTCATTTATTTTCTCTTTCACACAGCTTTCGTTACTTAACTTCTGTTATATGTCACGGCCTCATCTTACCAGAGGCACGGCCAGGTGGAGTTCACATAGCACTAACCCACTCTTCATGACTTTCGGGTGGAGATCACAAAGCACCAACCCGCTTTTCGTAACTATTGGGTGGAGATCACAAAGCACCAACCCATTTTCATCACTATCGGGTGGAGATCACAAAGCACCAACCTGTTTTTCATATTTTCTCATTCTCTCTATTGTTAGAGTAGTTCATACACATAGTTCTCTACTCTTTTTCAAGCCACTTCTCAATGCACAATTAATCTTCTCCACTAATGCTCTCATGAAATACCAACATGCAATGTTGCAAGAATTAAGGTTTACTACTCATGATTCTCTTAGGCATTTCATCAAACAACTAGTGTGCATACATAAACTCTACTTTATCTATGGTTCCATCCCTCTCTTGAACCATCCAAAATGGGAGGAAACTCCCTCACATAACTATAATTCTAGTCATAAAAGAACACTCCCAAAGAAAATACTCAATCTCCTCCAACTTCATTTCAAACTACATCCTCTAATCACTGCATATTCATCACATATTAACACTTCTCATCAATAAAGTGTATTCAACAACCATACAACAAATACTCATCTCAACCCAATTTCTCAATATATCATACACATGCATAAGTAAATCTCTACTTAATCTCTACTCAAAAGTTTTATCAAATTTCAACTTGGGATGGATTTACTTACCTTGCAATGGAGAGATCACACTTGCACTTTCCCTTCCTTTAAAATGCTTGTCTCTTCTCTACAACTTTACACAATAAAACCATAAGCCTTCAATGTACAAATATATGCAAAACTTCACATCTAAAGCAAGAATCCTTACCTTAGGATGCCTTAGATTGATTCTCTACCAAGATCCAACTAAAAACCCTCAAAAATCCTTGAAAGCTTGAAGGAAAAGTTGAGAGGAAATGGAGAATGAAAGAGGCGGTGGAAGATGAAGAATGAAGGGTTTACTAAGCTTAACCCTTTTTTAGCTCAAATTATCTTCATTCATTCCCATATTGCCTTTGCTTTTCCTTGGAAATTTTATCCTTGTCCTTTAAATCATTACAATCTCACCCCTACTCTAACATAGTCTCCATAAAATTCTCTTACATTTTACTCCCCACTTTTCCTGCTAATTAAGGGTAGAAAGGTCATTTGACCCTTATGGAGAGTTCTCTAGAAACCTCAAGAAACTTTTCTACCTTCCCGTTGCCGCAATAAAGAAAATTCCGTCGCCCCAGTGAAAAATTATAGAGCCGACACCGCAAGTACAAAGCCAACATCGCCGCGGCGAAGACCGAAATTCACACTTCGCCAAAACTCAACCAAAATCATGGCAAACACTCAACCAAACCAACTAAGGGCCAACCAACTGAAAATAATGACATACAAGCTCAAATAAGAACAAAGCAAAAAACATTCAAACATACAACAGAATTTACTACGTACCTCAAGTGGGGCGTTACAGACACCTTGGGTGAAAATAATTCTGATTGTACAAGGCTTAACAAACGGGGTTTGTTGAAAACCCTTTGCAACTAGCCTGGCCTTATATTTTTGGAGAGTTCCATCAACATGAAATTTTATTCTAAAAACCCATTTGTTACCCACCACATTCATATCAGCTTCCTTTGGAACAAGAGTCCAAGTACCATTCTTTATGAGGGCATTGAATTTGTCTTGCATTGCACTCTTCCATTCAACATTTGCAACAGCTTTAGAGACTAAATTAGGTTCATGATAGATAGGTTTGGAAATAGTTAAAGTAGTTGTGGTCATAGAAGCAACAGCTTTAGATTTGGTTGTCATTGGGTGAATGTTGGTGGTTGTGGTTATGGTTGAATGTAGCTGATTATTTGTGTTGGTGGCTGATGTGGAAAGTAAACTAAAATTGGTGGTTTGGAGAACTGTGAAGATGTTAAATCAACAACAAGTGGGCAAGTAGGCAATTGCTCTTTTATGTGATAGTGAGATGGCAGTTCTGATGGCTTGAAGGAAGTTGTGGATGAGGAAATTGGGTGGTAGCAAGTGAGATCTATTTCAAGGGGACACAATGATGTATTTGGAGCTGGTTGTAAGGAAGGGAAAGAAGTATGAATGGTTGTTGGAAAGGGCTGTGTTTGTGAACTGGTATGTGAAATAGTAGGAGGATTTTCAAAAGTGTCAGAGGTGTCGTGGGAATTGGTTTCAGAATTTTGATGGGAAGGATTAGTAATGTGTAGGTCAAGGTTGGACAGGTGATTATTGGTAGGATGAGTTTGATACTGCACTGTAGAAATTGAAGGAGAATCACCTGCAGAACAAGTTTTGCTCGAATAGATTTCCTTACTGGCAAAATTAGTTGCTGGTGGCATAACATTATAAGGAAAACTAGACACTAAAGAGTTATGATCTGTAGAGGTGAACATATTAGAAGGTACCGATGACTGATTTGCAGAATTAGGATAAAGACAAGACTCTTTAGAGAAAGGAAACTCTAACTTATTAAATTGAACATTAGGAGTGACAAATATTTTTCCTTCAAAATTGAAACATTTATAACCTTTATGAATCAGGCTATATCCAACAAAGACGCGTTTGGAAGAGTGAAAACTAAACTTATGTTTGTTGTAATCCCTTAAATAAGGGAAACATGTGCACCCACAGACTTTGAGAGAAGAGTAGACTGGCATTCTATTAAATAAGACTTGGTAAGGTGAGACAAAGTTCAGGACAGAGGTAGACATTCTGTTTATAAGGAAGATAGCTGTGTCAAATTCAAGCCACCAAAAATGCAAGAGCATGGATGCATGAGCTAATAGTGTAAGACTAGTTTCTATAATGTGTCTATGTTCTCTTTCGCCCCTCCTATTTTGTAGGTGGACATATGCACATGGGTGCCTAAATTGTATCCTTGCAGTTGCAAGATAGGAAATCAATCCCTTATATTCTGCCCCTTGGTCAGATTGTAAACATAGGAGTTTATAATTGAATTGTCGTTCGACAAGATGGTGAAACTTAATGAACACATATTGAACCTCTGCCTTGGTTCGCAAGGGAAACATCTAAGTGTATCGGCTATAATCATCTATAAAGTGAATATAATATATATAAGCTTCTAGAGAGATAGTTGGGCCTGGTCCCCAAATATCACTGTGAACAAGTTCTAATCGTTTGGTTGCTCTAGATTGTGATATAGGAAAGTGATTCTTGTGAAGTTTGCCTAACTTACAGGCATCACAAAAAGGTAAAGAGGATAGGGATTCTGTTGAAACTGATTAAGTAGTATTTTTATGCAGATGAGTCAGAACTCTCTGAAAGGCATCAATATGAGGATGGCCTAATCTATTGTGCCAAACAGATATCTTGTTCTCTTTGTTATTGCTAATATGAAGTGCAAATGATGGATTGTTTTCATGATGATGACAGTTTGTACAATCATTGATAATGATGCAACCATGTTTTGTTGGTGATGACATGTGATTCACAGCAAGAAGTATTAGACAATATTATGAACATGTTTATGAGATAGTAATGAAGTAGTTTTATTAGGTTGAAAGGAAGTACATAGGTTCAGGTCAGATGAGCCTGAAGAGCAATTATTTTGATTAGATTGAATAACCTGTTTGTTAGAGCAACTAAGTTGACCCAAAGGATTAATCTGCTCAGGTTGAACAACCTGTTTATTAGTACAATTGAACTGACTAGAATCAGTTTCAAACGACTCTAAAGGCTTGTGATCTAAAGTGGTAGCAAAGGATTGAGACGAACTAGATTGATTGTGCACATCAACTGAACATGATGGTAGAGTAGGAGGGATGTGCAATTGATATAAACCATCTTTAAGTCCTTCCTTGAGCAACACTGTTCTGGTAGCTTTGTCCTTAACAGTGCAAGAATCAGAGTCAAACTCAACAACAACCTTATTATATATAGTTAGTTTGGAAATGCTGAGTAAGTTTTTTGTAATTTTAGGCACACAAAGAACATTTTTCAAGTGAATACATTTTGATTGTAAAGAACTAGGTAACAAGGTAAGACCAATATGAGATATGGAAAGAGACTCAGCATTGCCCACTTGCAATTGTTCATTACCTTCATAACTCA